CCCCCCCCCCCCGGCTGTTTAGCCGCGGAGGATGGGGACCCTCATCAGGCTACGTCTCCCTCAGAGACCCCCGGCTTCAGAACTCCCTGCAAAGCAGAGAAAGTCCCGAAAAGAGTGTGTCTTCCTTATTACGCGTATTCCCTGGCTTCTTCCCTTGGCAAACACCCGCCTAGAGTCTTCGTTTGGCAAACACCTGCCTAGAGTCTAAGTCCATCGTAGGACCCTGCTTGTTTCTGTAAAACAGAGCCCTGCATAACACCGATGTAATCAAACAGGCGCGAGTCATTCTGAATTACCGCTCAGTGCGATAAATTCAGTGAAAGCTGCCCAGATGAAAGAGAAAGGGTGTGTGGTTTTATTGAACCAGCTTCTGTTGGTGAGAGAGCGACAAAGCTTTGGAGCTTACACAGAGGCTCTTCCGGTCTGGGAAAGGGCTCCAAGTGCACAGCTAAATACAGAGTGAAACATTGCTTAGGCAGTTAACATGTATTTCCAGGCACTATCCCAAGAGAAGTGTCCCTTTTACACCCCTTAATGTGGAGAATGGACAAGGAGTAGGGGAAGGCAGCTTGTGGGGACTATAGGGTGTTATAATCCTTGTAGTATCTAGCAAAGTTATGAATTAAGCTCCCAGGCTCATGTTTTGCAGGTGTTGTAAAGATTTCTTTTGAGAACAAGGACTGATAGGTCAGATACAGGGTGGTAGTTGACTTTTAGCGTTACTGACAAGTGGTCATTAGCAGGATTTTCTTCTATTGCTTAACTTGAAATTTGAAGCCATTGGCATGCCTTGGCTGAAAAAAGTTTTTTGTTTCTTCAAGAGAAACAGGCTTAATGAGAACATTAGCTTAAATTGCCATTATAAAATGTCCCTCATTATAGGCCTAAACAAACATAAAGCTGAAAACATTTTATTGTAAAATATTAATAATGTAGCACAAAAAATCCCTTAAATTCCATCTGTGTATACATGAAACATTCACTAGACTGAATCTCTAGATACATACTTGCAAGTATAGTTTAACACTGTATTCCTTTTCATAAAACATTACAGTACATAATGGTAGGCAATTATATCATTTATGTTTAATAAAGAATTACTTCTAAAGAAAATTGATGATGACAAGGGATTGATGGAAAGCAAACCAAAATGTTATTCGCTATGGATTACGCTTCTCACTCAGCTAACTTCTGTGAATACAGGCAGTCCCCAGTACAAGATAGGGACTGTAGGTTTGTTCTTAAGTTGAATTTGTATGTAAGTCGGAACTGGTACATATTGTAGGGGAAACACTAGTCAAACATTTCTCTAGAGCTCAGTTTTACAGGCAGTCCCCGGGTTACGTACAAGATAGGGACTGTAGGTTTGTTCTTAAGTTGAATTTGTATGTAAGTCGGAACTGGTACATATTGTAGGGGAAACACTAGTCAAACATTTCTCTAGAGCTCAGTTTTACAGGCAGTCCCCGGGTTACGTACAAGATAGGGACTGTAGGTTTGTTCTTAAGTTGAATTTGTATGTAAGTCGGAACTGGTACATATTGTAGGGGAAACACTAGTCAAACATTTCTCTAGAGCTCAGTTTTACAGGCAGTCCCCGGGTTACGTACAAGATAGGGACTGTAGGTTTGTTCTTAAGTTGAATTTGTATGTAAGTCGGAACTGGTACATATTGTAGGGGAAACACTAGTCAAACATTTCTCTAGAGCTCAGTTTTACAGGCAGTCCCCGGGTTACGTACAAGATAGGGACTGTAGGTTTGTTCTTAAGTTGAATTTGTATGTAAGTCGGAACTGGTACATATTGTAGGGGAAACACTAGTCAAACATTTCTCTAGAGCTCAGTTTTACAGGCAGTCCCCGGGTTACGTACAAGATAGGGACTGTAGGTTTGTTCTTAAGTTGAATTTGTATGTAAGTCGGAACTGGTACATATTGTAGGGGAAACACTAGTCAAACATTTCTCTAGAGCTCAGTTTTACAGGCAGTCCCCGGGTTACGTACAAGATAGGGACTGTAGGTTTGTTCTTAAGTTGAATTTGTATGTAAGTCGGAACTGGTACATATTGTAGGGGAAACACTAGTCAAACATTTCTCTAGAGCTCAGTTTTACAGGCAGTCCCCGGGTTACGTACAAGATAGGGACTGTAGGTTTGTTCTTAAGTTGAATTTGTATGTAAGTCGGAACTGGTACATATTGTAGGGGAAACACTAGTCAAACATTTCTCTAGAGCTCAGTTTTACAGGCAGTCCCCGGGTTACGTACAAGATAGGGACTGTAGGTTTGTTCTTAAGTTGAATTTGTATGTAAGTCGGAACTGGTACATATTGTAGGGGAAACACTAGTCAAACATTTCTCTAGAGCTCAGTTATAGTTCCTGAAAGATGAGAAACGTTGAATGAATTAGAAAGGTCATTCATTCTCTGATGTGAGAAAATGTGTATTGCATAGTTTCAGGGTTATGGTCTACTTACTAGGGAAATATATTTTTGTTTTAAAATTAATTGTTTTATTTCTTGTTATAATAAAAGTATGGATTTAAACTAGTAACAGCGATCAGGAAGACAAAGGATTTTAGGATCTCTGTAAAAATCAATTAAGACTATGTATAAAGGATGACATTCATTTTAATTAGATCTCTTCTAAGCAGTCCTTCAGAATCTTAACCTCAAAGAATCTGCTTTAATGGATACATACCATTACCATGTTTGTTTGATTTCAAATGCCTTTTTTTGTGTCACTCATTTAAATTAAAACTGTGAACGAACTCATGTAGATACAGGAAGTCCTCACCATTTGCGGGAGGTACATTCTTGAGATCACTGGGAATGGAATGAAATGAATACTGATGGGGGGGATAGGAGTTGAGGGGAGGGGAGGGTGTGCTCTCACACAAAACAACCACATTTTTACACCCACTTCTAGTTTCTGGCATTGACCACATACAATAGTAATGAACTGTGATTTTCATGATATTTATATCTATGATTATGTGTTACAGTATCATATTCCCTATGAAATTTCCTGGTACTGTATGTTTCTTGTTGCTGGAGCACACTGAAAAAGTGTCATCACGCTGAGTCATGTGCTTGGGCTGGTGCAGCGCAGAGCACTGTGAATATGCAAAACCACGGTTAGCAAAACTGCGAATGGAGAGGGCTTCCTGTAATTATGTATTGAGCCAGTTCAGTTACTGTATCATTTACTTGTATAACTGTGGCCTTTCTACTTGTGAAACTTACATATAGAGATCAGGACTGCCACTGGGAAGGGAGCAGTTGCCTCAGGGGGACTGTTGATTTAAAAGGGCCTAGGCCTCTGGGATGTGGCCACTGCTACCACTGCATCAGTGGTGGCTACAACCCTGAGCCCTTTAAATACCCTCTGAAACCCTGTGTGGTGCGGTGTGGGAGGCACAGCACAGTCCTGTTGGTGCTGAGGGCTGGCTGGCTGTAGTTCCACCCTTTCTGCTGAGTTCCTGCCCCTTCCAGAGTCCAGAGCCAAGTCCTCCCCCATTATCTAGCACTGCCTGGTAAGTGAATTCTGTCACTAGCACCACTACAGAGCCACATTCTGCTTAGTAGTCCTATAAGTCTGCTCCTGCAAACACTTACTCACATGTGCTTAACTTTACGCATAATGTTCTTGACTTAAGCAAAGCTACCACAATTTCATCAGTTGAGGTTCTGCCCAGTGGGACTACTTATGTGCTTAAACTCGAGGGCTACGTCTAGACTGGCAAAACTTTTCCGTTAAAAGCATTTGTGGAAAAGAGCATCTAGATTGGCATGGACACTCTTCCACAAAAGCACTTTTTGCGGAAAAGCGTCTGTGCCAATCTAGACGTGGTTTTGCGCAAGAAAGCCCCGATCGCCATTTTCGCCATCGGGGCTTTTTTACGCAAAACAGTTTTCAGCTGTCTACACTGGCCCTTTTACGCAAAAGCATTTCTGGAAAAGGGCTTTTTCCCGAACGGGAGCAGCATAGCATTTCCGCAAGAACACTGACAATCTTACATGAGATCGTCAGTGTTCTTGCAGAAATTCAAGTGGCCAGTGTAGACAGCTGTCAAGTTTTTCCGCAAAAGCAATTGCTTTTGCGAAAAAACTTTCCAGTCTAGATGCAGCCAACCATGTAGAGAAAATTTTGAAGGTTCAGGGCCCACCTTGAACACCAATGTATTACAGCTAATTGCCTGATACTTGTAATTCATTTTGTATTCACCTCACCTCATTTAAAAGCATACTGTAAATTCGATTTAACCCAAAATTTAGATGTAATTTAGTTGTAATAAAAGATCTTGCAGAAGTTAAGGACAATGGACATATTTCTATGATTTGGAAAAATTTGAATGATATAATTTAAAAAATGTAAATTTTTGGTGGACTGTTTGCAAACCAAATTTTGCAGTACTTTGCTAATGCTTGAGATTGCAGAAGATGAAAAGACTAGTTTAATTTTATTTTCTAAGATGAATGCAATTCAAAAATAAACTGCATACATTGGGAGAAGTAAATAATACAATTTCAATTTTAATAATCTAAAGTATTGTCAGTAATACAGAGCATTTGTTTATTAAAAATGCAGTAAACAATAAGCCCATTTCAAAAATTACTCCTGTGCATAGGATATGATTAGACTTTATAACCTCTTATTGGTCATGAACAAAGCTTTAAGACTCTGAAGGCCAATTACATTTTAATATTGTATTATTACTAGAGCAGGTCAGAATATTTTTGACTAAATGTAGTGTTGTCAAAATATGCAGTTCTGTTGAAACCAAAATATGATTCAGAGAACATGTTGATCTTACCAGTGTTTTCATCCAGAAGGCTTCAAAGGTCCTAGTGGCTTCTGGTCACTAGAGATCAGAGGGTATGTCTACACTACAAAGTTAGTTCGAACTAACGGATGTTAGTTCGAACTAACTTTCATAGGTGCTACACTAGTGCTCCGTTAGTTCGAATTTAATTCGAACTAACAGAGCACTTAGTTCGAACTAGGAAAACCTCATTTTACGAGGATTAAGCCTAGTTCAAACTAGCTAGTTCGAATTAAGGGGTGTGTAGCCCCTTAATTCGAACTAGTGGGAGGCTAGCCCTCCCCAGCTTTCCCTGGTGGCCACTCTGGCCAACACCAGGGAAACTCTTCTGCCCTCCTCCCAGCCCCGGAGCCCTTAAAGGGGCACGGGCTGGCTACGGTGCCCGTGCTAGGTGCAAGCCTGCCAGCACCCAGCCAGCAGACCCTGCACCTGGCACGGCACAGAGCCACCCACCCGATGT